TACTCCCTCCATATCAAAATATAAGTCGTTTTTTGACACAGTTATAGTGTCAAAAAACGTCTTATATTTTGATAGAGGGAGTACTTAATTAAAAATGAAATCTTGTCACTCTCTCTGGTACTTAATTAAAACCAGACAATACTGTTCTCTCACCTTTAAATCTATGTGTTGTTCAAAATATGCCTTATAAAAAGGGCATACATTTAGAGAGGTGTGTATAATTGTACATACAGAAAGAGAATATACGCTTGTTCAACTATTGTAACTAACCTTACATAAGCCATCCAACATGGGAAATGCATGTCGTTGCACTCATGTTCTCTTCCATTGTGTTTACGAATAAATATTTTCGTTTTCTGTACAGTATTTTCTTATTTTTAAACAAAGGCAGAAGTTTGCCATATTTCACTGATTAAGGAGAAGAAAAATAAAGTTATGTACAAACAAGGCTGTAGCAGAAGAGCTGGACTACTCTCCCAGCCTTCTATGAATTGGGCATAGTACGCAGAGGATGTGTAGCAGGAGTTTTCCGTAAGCTTCCAATGTCCTCACCTTTGTTTGTAGCTCAACAGGGAGAAATTCTCTCCCAAAGGGTGAAGAACTCATAGATGTGGAATATTCACCTAATTCAAGTTTAGGGAGTATTAGTTCAAATGGATAGATAAGAGGCAATAACTGTGAGAAACTAAATATCTATTATGTTAAGGAAAATAGGGTCGTCCTACTATAATTACAAGAGAGTAAGTAAACAACATGTAATACTAGACGACACGCTACGTGTTTGCCGTTGAATTGGATATATAGTTTCCAAATATTGTGCAGAATACCTTACGTTTTAAACTAGTTGAGAAAATTTTGCATCAGAAAAAAAGATAATTTTAGCATGTAAAGTTGTGCACGTCACTAATAAATGCAATGTGATTTAAAATTCACTTAGAATGCACTAATGCATGTTCGTGGTAGAGGATTCTCATGCATAGATCATATGGATGCTAGTGGATCAAGCTCGTAAATCTAACGGCTACAACAACTTTAATGATGTGGGATGTGGAAGCATGCATGATGAGATAATTAGAAATAGTGAGGATCACTCTGTTAGGTATATACTCCCAAAATGAGTGTCTTGACCTTAGTACAACTTTGTACCAACTTTAGTATGAAGTTGAAACACTTACTTTTGGACGAAAGAAGTATATGATTAGGGGTATTCATTCCTTTGTTGGAATACCAAAACCAGGCAGATATGCTGTAGTTCGAATTTCCTCTTTGCCAGTGATAAGGCTAGCTTTCATAGGTTGGTGAAAACCGTATTTGAACACCCTGGTAATTGTAAACACATGAATGAATAAGATAATAAAAAAAGATACACAAAGCTCATTTAATTTGTAGTGGAATATTATTAACGAATATCCATTTCTAAGCCCAGGCTTATCTGCATCCAGTGAACAGAAAATTCACAAAAAATAATAAAAAAAATGTAACAAGCTAAGTCACATGGGGAATGAAAGGGAAAACAAAAAAAGCTTGCACCGGGGCGGCTTTACATCAGTAAATAAAGTTCTTATAATGAACCTTACATGTAACTTTACCATGCATACACTCAGTGGCAAGATGGCTCCCTGGAACCCCTATTGCAGCTAATTATATGTCAATGTACTATCTCTAAAGCATTCCGGCCCATAGAAGAAATCTGATATAGTTTGCAGCAAATAGCAAATAGTTTTAGCTACTTTGTTTGAATTTTATACTCATATCTCTCCCTATGATTCTATTCAAGCATACTGTGTGTACAAGTTTTTTGAAGACGAACTAGCTAGTACTCCCTCTGTTCCTAAATATAAGTCTTTTTAGACATTTCAAATGAAGTACAACATACGGATGTATGTAGACATTTTTAGAGTGTAGATTCACTCATTTTGCTCCGTATGTAGTCACTTGTTGGAATCTCTAGAAAGACTTATATTTGGGAACGGAGGAAGTAATAAAAGACCTGTGCATCATAATGCATCCACTCTCCAGCCATTTTCATGATATATGGTAGGTCGTAACTATGGTTAGAATAATTCCTCCATTTTTATTTAATCTTGGATTTACGTCGACTCTGTGTATGTGTATGGCTTCGTGTAAGCCATTAAAATCAACTCCTGGTCTGTTTTGTTCAATGCATATGTATTTGAAAACTACCAATTCTGGGTGGCAACTGGTGTAACTTATCAGGAAAATTCCAAACATATGTATGTAGTTTCATAGTATATCATGTAATCCAGGTTCCGAAAAAAAATGTGTATCAACAGAAGCAGAAATAATAATAACGAGGTCCCTTTCGTATCAGATTTTCTTCGGGCCGGGGTGCAGATTCTTCAGTGTGCATTGCAGATCGAATATACACTAGAGGGTAATTAAACAATAAATCCATTTATGTTATATTCCTGGCCCATTACATCGTTTTACCGAGGTTGGGAGCATATCAGTAGCACCAAATTACGGCAGCAGCGCGACACATTATCCTCTCGTGCTCTTGATATTTCAGTCAAGCCACAGACAGCCTTTTTGTTGATTGTGTGGATCCTTAATAGCCTTTGTGACAACGGGACCTGGTGTGAACTGTTAAGCCATGGTCGACATGTTCAAAAAAATAATAAAATAAAAGGATCAGATCATCATGTTCCAATGCTGGCGGAAAGAAGGACATGACAGTACAATTGCCTTACCTGTCACACTTCATGAGGCATCACGCCTACTGTCGTAGCCTAGCTGCATGCTGCAGGTTTGTCCTGCCTCTAGGCGTGCGCTGTCGATCCCACCATGCATGCATATGGTGCCGCCGTGTCGTGCATGTATGCACTTGGGTTCATGATAATCCTGGCAGGGAAATACACTCGGCAGGAAGAGAGTATACACGTGCTGAAAATGGTATTATTTCTTGTTTAAACGTGTTGAGATTTGATTTTATGCGTCAATACGAAGAGTCCTTCACACACGGTTTGTACGGAGGCATAAATTATAATAACAGTATGCAAAACTCACCTTGCCTTTGCCTCGATTCATCAGGTTGGTGATGCCTGTGGTTGAGAAGGTTGATGTGGCCACTGTCTGGACGCCTTCTACTAGGAGTTGCTTGGCTGATGACACTACAACATGTTCTACAATTTTTTTTGACAAATGAGCAACTAATCACCCTGGATCTGGCAAGACTGTTGATGGTGGCTAAATTTCATGTTTTGATCATTTTTCAAAACTTGATCGAGATCTGACCCTGCCTTGCAAAAAATTCGGGATCTGACCCTTTTCTTACCGCCAGAGTCCATGGCGTTAGGGGATAACAGCCTACCGCCAAGGTCCCTGGCGGTAGGGTTGCATACCTTACCAGAAAAATTTCATAAGTATGGAACACAGTGTGTGCTCGCACCTACCGTCGGGCGCCTTGGCAGTAGGGTTGTACAGGCTACCGCCAGCCTGTTTGGCGGTAGGCGGTAGGCTGTTACAACCTACCCATGACGGTAGCAAAAGGGTCAGATCCCGAAATTTTTACAAATTGGAGTCAGATCTCGATTAACTTTTGGAAAAGGGTCAAAACATGAAATTTTGCCGTTGATGGCCTCATGAAGGAGAAATCAGAGAACATTGGGTAGATGGTGTCGGTGGGTGACGAGGTTGATAAAGAAGTGCGCCAGACACCTAATTCTGAGGCTCTCTTTGCAAAAGAGCTCTATGACTTGCTTGCTAGTTTGGAAGTGGCTAGTCCTGGATTTGGCAAGGCGATTGCTTGCATCTTGACGGAGAAGGTTTCCACAAGCAAAATTGAGAAGGTGAAAAAGGCTCTTAGGAGCAAAGGCAAGAAGTGTGGCGTCATTGAAAAGGCGCCTGCCGCTGCTTAAACGAATGGTCTCGAGTGTCTTGGACCATCCCCATGGTTAGGCTTGTTTTTGTGGATTTGGTTGTGTCCGCTATTTTCAGTAGAGATGTTCTTATTGGTGGTTCCATTGCGTCGTAGAAGTGTGAGGGCTTGTTATTGTTGTTGTTTTTGTTGTTAGATATGTTTATTGGATCGGTCGTGCGGTCATGGTGTTTCATACTTTATGAGTAGTTCACGTGTGGTGTGCTTGTAACGGTTTTCGCACGGTTTTCGATAATTAACTAGGCAATTTTCTAGGATGAAACTTCTGCCTCTGTTTCAAAAAAAGGTATAATTTTGGTCAAACTTCAAAAGATTTTGCATATTTTGCAATATTTTTTTATAGTTGAAATTGTTAGCATAATTATAACTCATAATAACAAAACTCGTCCAACGAAAGTGCTAGTCTACTTCCACATGCAAAATACAGTACATAGCTTAATTAACGATATAATAACAAATTGCATGGCATCAATTTTTCATTCTTCATCCATTTGGAAGTTTTTTTTTTAGAAGGAGGATCATCCCCAGCCTCTGCATCTGACAGATGCATGCGGCATCCATTTGGAAGGTATGGCTCGACCATTGTATCGCAGACCATAGTTGATTCTTCATCAGATAGGAAGCACTTGGTTCACTGAATGATTAATCTCTGTGTTGAATGAAACTGATTCCACAGGTATGCATACACAAGATACGAATGGGAGTCAGAGAAAGCGCATACACAAGATCATCACGAACAACAAGCAGAAGCTATGGCCAAAACAGTATAACCTCTACGAACGAGGCTTGAAAGAGGGCACGCATTGTATGCACTGTTGCCTAAGTTGATCGGTTTGTTGTACCCGCTGAGTCAGACAAGATGAACAACTAGATTCTGGGGGAAGGACATCGACCAGGGAAAATATTTGGCATGTACGTATCACTGAAGTTGCTCTGTAGCAGTGTGCTGTTCCAGGCAACAGTGCAGGCCAACACGTACGGCGCTCCTACACAAAGTTGGCAGCTACATACAAGAACTGGCCAGCAACATACTTATCACTTAATCGAATGAATTACAATTCCCTTGACGGCGAACTGCATTGTTACTTTGTGCAGAAGCCCATCAAAGTTTCGACATAAACATGGGCGCCGTTGAATTCTGAGGCAGCGAGCTCCCTCTACTAGCAGGCACCTGCAACGAAAAATTGATGACACGGTGAGGACCTCTATATGTGCTATATACATCTTCAGAAAGGGCGCATCAGGAAAGCGTGTTTGATCAAATTAGTAGCAGGTTAAATGCATCTTGCGGATTATGATGGCCTTTTCTCATTCTGCTAATGATACGAGTGTCAATGCTATCATGCATGTGCTTGTTCTATTTTGATCATTCCTCCTTTCTGAAGAAACCTTTTTTTTTCTCGAACTCCTCTAGAACTTGAGATGTTCGAAGTACGTACGATCGCCCTGTATGTTGAGATGGTTTTGTATGGTGCTATGGTTTGTACGTACCTTGGTGCCGGAAGCCTTGTGTATGAATCCCTTCTCTTGCAGAGATTTCACCGCTTCATAGAGGTATTCTTGCACAGGGGTGAACTTGATGCCCAGGTCCTTGAGAGGCTGGTTGGTGTACTTGTAACCCTTCTTTGGCGGATTCACCTCGTCCTTGCATCTGTACAGGTTAGTGAAGGATTAGACTGTCACTGTCCGAAGATGCCCACCTAATTAAGTCATTGTTTAGTGTGTTGAGAAGCTTTAAAAGTTGAGGGTGAAATCTCAACAGTCTGCTTTGTCTTTAAGGCGAAGCAAAGCCGTCGCTTTCGTTTTACGAAAGTTACAGGCAACTACCAACAACTTGTGGTCTATCAAGGGATCAATTGCAAGCAAGATTGTGTAAAAACATTAGCACATTCGTGGAAAGATTCTATCAACGGAGCGGAGCAATTGCAAGCAAGATTGTGTAAAAACATTAGCACATTCGTGGAAAGATCTATTCTTAGTTCAGTACTACTCCCTCCGTTCGGAATTACTTGTCGCAGAAATGGATGTATCTAGACGTAATTTAGTTCTAGATACATCCATTTTCGAGACAAGTAATTCCGAACGGAGGGAGTACGAACTAAGAATAGTACTCTACTTGCTATTTTAAGTTGGAAGAATTATCTATTATACTATCGATCATTTATTCCTGTTCTCATTTACGCATCTAACTGTTGGCTGAACAGGGAGTCCGAAGTTTGGAGCATTCCTTTGAAGAAGAATGCAGGACGGTATTGTACCTTGTGGGAATCGGGTACTCCGGGAAGTGCCCGGCGAGGATCCGGCAGAGCTCGCCGCGATGCAGCGTCCTCTCTGCGCAGACGTAGCGCCGTCCCCCGGCATTGGGCGCCTCGAGCACCCTGACGTGCGCCTCGGCGGCGTCCTTGACATGCACGTAGGCGTGCGACTCGTTGACGTACGCCTTGGCCTCGCCGGTGAGGTACTTGAGTATGTGCTTGGTGCTGGTGTTCATGCTCGGCTGCAGCAGCTCGCCGAGCGTCACCACCGGGATCACCACCGCCAGGTCCAGCCCCAGCGCCCGCGCCGCCTCCCACGCGCCCCGCTCCGCGATCGTCTTGGCGTAGCAGTACCAGTTCTGCCGTCATTCGTGCGCACGGGCGTCAATGGCGAAGATCGGGTGGATAATTAGAGTTGGAGGCTGCAGGGTGCAGGTTCCGGACCTTGGTTTGTTTGCAGTAGTCGAGGTCGCTCCAGCACGACTCGTCGAGCGGCGCGTCCGGGTCGCGGTGGGGGTTCATGTACATGGTGCCGATGGTGGAGGACAGAACCACGCGCCGGACGCCGGCGTCGGCGGCCATCTCCACGACGTTGAGCGTCCCGGTGATCACCGGCTCGATGATCTCCTCCTGTCGAACGGCACAACCTCCGTCAGCTTTATTCCGGCGGAAATAGAGGAGGATATACTAATACTGAGCGGCCGCTACTCACGGGGGTGTCGTGCATCGGCGACGCGGTGTGGATGACGCCGTCGCATCCGTCGAAGGCGGCGCGGAGGCTGGCCCGGTCGAGCAGGTCGACCTGCACCATCGTCAGCCGCTCCGCCGCGCCGTCGAGCGCCCACAGGTGCGCGTTCTTGGGGCCATCTGCGCGCAAGAGCTGGTCAGCCCAATCCATTCCTGGAGCAGACTTGGCAGACCCGGCGCGCCCAAGAATCTTGGGTGGCAAAGGGACGCAACGAGAGACAGCGAGAGGAACCGTACCGGCGTGGCGGGAGGTGCCGCGGACGGCGTAGCCGCGGGCAAGGAGGAGCTTGACGATCCAGGAGCCAATGAAGCCGCCGGCGCCGGTGACGCAGACGACGACGGCCATGGCCACGCCTGAGCCAACAGATCAGTTAATGCTGAAAAGGCGGGGGGAGGAAGAAACCAAATCTTTGGCGCAGAGGATGGACGCACTAGGCAGGCAGAGGGCGAGCGGGGACACGATTATCAACCGGGGCCGCTGGCTGGTCTCTTATCACTCGGCAGAGCAGAGAGACCCCGCTGAAACGGCCGAGAAACCGAGCGGCAATTACCGTGAAAACTACCGCGGGCCGGTCATGTGAGAACCGCGACGCGCGGACCGGGACGGCGACGAGACCACCGCGGCCGTGTGAACTTCTCTCCGAGCACCGTGTGTGGAGTGCACTCCAAGCGAGGTGGGGGAAATAGTAAAGAAAACGACCTGGACCGAGCTCTCGTGACTGGGAACGTGTTCCTCCACCCCTTTTTGCTTTTGTTAAATCATCATGCCTCATGCGTTGCGTTGCGTTTACAGGACGCTTCCGGTGTCGATTAGTGCCGGTGACGGTGAGCATCTCCGGGCTTTGGGTGCGCCTCGTAACAATGGGACTCGTCGCCGTGTCTTTTTCTATGGTGCCAGTGTGCTGCTGCTGCTGCAGTTGCAAGGATCATGTGTGTCCCAAAGCGCTTCGCTTCGCTCAACACGTGAACGTTGGAGCTGGGATGAATGGGGACGGTTGCGGTTGTCCGGGAGCGAGTGGAGTAGGTGGATGGGAGGGGCGGACGGCGCCTGCTTCGCTTTCCCACCTGTGCCCCAACGAAAAAATATCTGTGGCGAACTAGGCTACACGTACGCCGGATACCGTTTGGCCTGCGCGCCAGATGCCGTTTTGCTAGCCTCCACGTACTTAACGTACGACGCGCCGAGCTGCGCGGGAAACATGACAGCGATAGTGCCGATGTTTCGCTTCGGAGAACACCCGTGTCTCTGTTGATCTTTTTCTGTGTGTGCGCGTATTTTGTATTCTTTTTAGAAACTTTCAATCTATTCATTCTTTTTTGCGGGTAATCTATTATTTTCAATCATGACGGTACAAACAACAACAGAGCCATGGACCACCTATCGACTACAAGCACTGAAGCGAGCCGAAGACGCACCACTGTCATTGCCCCTCCCTTGCCGAAGCCAGGCTGTAACATCCCAAAATTTAATTTTTGAAATGCTACATTAAATAAATAAAGACGGTTGTTTGTTTGTTTCTTGTGTGGTTGATTGTGTGAAATTGAGTGAAATTTAAAACTTTTTGACAGTTGAATGAGAGAGAATGAAATGACTTTCCCAAACTTTCATCCTTACATTTTGATCCCAATGAATTCAAAATCAATTCAAACACAAAACCTTAGAGTGAAGATGACATGACTTCCTCCATTTGAAATGAATAGGATTTTTTGAAAAGATTTGAATTCCATCTGAAAATATTTCAAATTCAGAAAATTTATGCAATTCATTGATTTTCATGAGAGAAGATAAAATGACTTCTTCAAATTATATAAAATATGAGTTGGAAATTTAAAAGAATCAAATTGAAGGTCCCTTCGAAGGTATTTTGAAACCCACTTTCAATTTGGAGTTATTTGAATTTTCAATTTTCAAATTCTTTGAAAGTTACTCAAAATGAGAGAAGTAACACGACACTTCAAAATTTAGAGGCATTTGAATTATATTTGAACTAGGAAAAAAGAAAAGATTTAAAAGTGGTTTGAAATTCAAATTCAAAACCACTTAGGAGTTATATGGTTTTTAATCAAACTAATTTTCTCCAAAAGTAAAATATATGGAAATTAGGGTAAAATGATTCCCTACAACATAAAAATGGAGAAAAATAAATTTAAATTCATTTTGGCATTTTAAAATAATTATATTCGCATTTCAAATGCAACAGTGGCACTGTTTGACTTTTGAGATTTTGTGACTATTTTATTTGAACTTGAAAAATTGTTCATATTTTAGGATTTATTTTTCTAAAAATGTTGATATATTATATGCCTACATGGTATTTTATTTTATTAGTTTTCTTTTTTTGTTTTTTTGTTTAATTAAAAAAATCTTTTCGAACAGTGCCACGCCGAAGCCCAACACTGTTCTCTCTCTCTCTCTCTCTCTCTCCCTCACCAGCCCAACTGGCCGAATCGGCCCAGCGAGCCTGCGTCGCGCCCGAACTCCCTACACGTCGGCCACCCGCCCCCTCGCTCGCCTTCCTTTGCCGCTGACCCGTGAGACCCGCCTCATCTTCTTGCCCTCCCGCATGCAACGCCATGCCTGAGCGCGTTCAACATGCCGTTGAATCCCGATCCTTAGGGATTCATATCCCCAAGATCAACCCGTCCTCCACGTTGTGTCCACTATAAAACCCTCGAATCCCTCGCTCGTTTGCCCCTCTTCGCAAGCCCTTGCTCCGCCCTTCGTCGTCGCCACCGTCCCGCCACCCTCCGCCACTGCCAAAACCCTAACCTGCTAAATTCTGGCGCCGCAATCCTCGCCCCGATCCCCTGCTCCGCCCACACCCTCTCCACGACCTCGTGCACCTGTTGGGGAACGTAGTAATTTCAAAAAATTTCCTACGTACACGCAAGATCATGGTGATGGCATAGCAACGAGAGGGGAGAGTGTTGTCCACGTACCCTCGTAGACCGTAAGCGGAAGCGTTATGACAACGCGGTTGATGTAGTCGTACGTCTTCACGATCCGACCGATCCAAGCACCGAACGTACGACACCTCCGAGTTCAGCACACGTTCAGCTCGATGACGATCCCCGGGCTCCGATCCAGCAAAGCTTCGGGGATGAGTTCCGTCAGCACGACGGCGTGGTGACGATGATGATGCTCTACCGGCGCAGGGCTTCGCCTAAACTCCGCGACGATATGACCGAGGTGGAATATGGTGGAGGGGGCACCGCACACGGCTAAGGAACGATCCGTAGATCAACTTGTGTGTCATGGGGTGCCCCCCTGCCCCCGTATATAAAGGAGCAAGGGGGAGGGGGCGGCCGGCCAAAGGAGGGCGCGCCAGGGAGGAGTCCTACTCCCACCGGGAGTAGGATTCCCTCCTTTCCTAGTCCAACTAGGAGACCTTCCATGTAGTAGGAGTAGGAGAGAAGGAAAGGGAAGAGAGAAGGGAAGGAAGGAGGGGGTGCGGCCCCTCCCCCTAGTCCAACTCGGACTAGGCCATGGGGGGGCGCGCGGCCTGCCCTAGGTAGCCCCTCTCTCTTTCCCGTATGGCCCAATAAGGCCCAATACTTCTCCCCGGCGAATTCCCGTAACTCTCCGGTACTCCGATAAATACCCGAATCACTCGGAACCTTTCCGAACTCCGAATATAGTCGTCCAATATATCGATCTTTATGTCTCGACCATTTCGAGACTCCTCATCATGTCCCCGATCTCATCCGGGACTCCGAACTCCTTCGGTACATCAAAACTTATAAACTCATAATAAAACTGTCATCGTAACGTTAAACGTGCGGACCCTACGGGTTCGAGAACTATGTAGACATGACCTAGAACTATTCTCGGTCAATAACCAATAGCGGAACCTGGATGCCCATATTGGTTCCTACATATTCTACGAAGATCTTTATCGGTCAAACCGCATAACAACATACGTTGTTCCCTTTGTCATCGGTATGTTACTTGCCCGCGATTTGATCGTCGGTATCCAATACCTAGTTCAATCTCGTTACCGGCAAGTCTCTTTACTCGTTCCGTGATGCATCATCCCGTAACCAACTCATTTGGTCACATTGCTTGCAAGGCTTATAATGATGTGCATTACCGAGAGGGCCCAGAGATACCTCTCCGACAATTGGAGTGACAAAACCTAATCTCGAAATACGCCAACTCAACATGTACCTTCGGAGACACCTGTAGTACTCCTTTATAATCACCCAGTTACGTTGTGACGTTTGGTAGCACCCAAAGTGTTCCTCCGGTAAACGGGAGTTGCATAATCTCATAGTTACAGGAACATGTATAAGTCATGAAGAAAGCAATAGCAACATACTAAATGATCAAGTGCTAGGCTAACGGAATGGGTCATGTCAATCACATCATTATCCTAATGATGTGATCCCGTTAATCAAATGACAATTCTTTTGTCCATGGTTAGGAAACATAACCATCTTTGATAAACGAGCTAGTCAAGTAGAGGCATACTAGTGACACTATGTTTGTCTATGTATTCACACATGTATTATGTTTCCGGTTAATACAATTCTAGCATGAATAATAAACATTTATCATGATATAAGGAAATAAATAATAACTTTATTATTGCCTCTAGGGCATATTTCCTTCAGCACCAGCTAGACATCACCGTACATGCTCACGCGCAGTCGGAGCACGTCCACAGAGTACGACATCGCCGCTGCAAGCCGAGGAGTCCGCCTACTCCATTCACTCGTCACCGTCGCCCCCGAGCTCGCCTTCGGCCACCCTTGGATGCATCGTTTAGCGCTGCATCAGTTGGACGTTGTCGCCATTGCCGGAGATTGCATGAGCACCATCACCGAGGACCTTGCCCGCCTCGGCCTCGCCTTCCCCGCGGTGAGCCTCACCCTGCCCTCTCCCCCATTTGATCTAAATCAACCGTAGAGATTAGATTAGATAGAATGGTTAGGTTTTATTTATCAAAGTGGTTTGTATTTACGGTTAAGTCCGGTTTAGTTTGAATCGAGCCGCCCTGGTTTTTCCTGTTAGTCACCGCCCACCATTTTATTATGTAGCGGTCGTCCACCCGTAGCACTCACATGCACGCCTCGCTGGCCCAATCAGAGCACGCCACATATACCCCTGCCCGATGCGTATAGTTTTTGTTTTTCTGTTTTTCTTTTATTTACAGAATAGTTTCTGTTTTAGACATTTAATATCTTTTTGGGTTCTTATCCAAATTGAATGATTCTTTTTGGCATTGGATTCAAAATTTTATGAAGTTTCTGTTGGTGCACTTGGATTTCAAATTTGAGTAGTTTAAATTTGAACTTGATGAAATTTGTTCAAATCACTATTTTGACCATATCTTGAGTTTTAAA